GGGGCAAAAACACCCGACAGGCTGGATAAATGTCCTCTGCAGGCCGCATGTGGCCCGCAGGCCGTAGTTTGAGGACGCCTGCTCTAAAGCAAAGGTGGGGAACCTTTTTTCTGCCAAGGGCCATTTGGATATTTTTAACATCATTCACAGATCATAAAAAAATCCGCAACTTAAAAATAGCCTGCTATATTTGGTCAAACAATTAATTCACACATAGCTTTTTCTCTTTGGTGAGGCTTGTGATGTTATGATGTTAGCTGGTATTGATGCTTTTGTTGGCCTTATATGGAGTCCAGGTCTAGCAGTGACAATTTGGCCTGTTAACTGCAAGGTCAGCAGTTAGAAACCACCAGCTGCTCCTCGGGAGAAAAACGGGGCTTTCTACTCCCATAAAGTTCCAGTCTCAGAAACTCACAGGGACAGTTCTACCCTGTCCTACAGGGGTCTTATGAGTTGGCCTTAAGTTTGGTTTGGTTTGGTTTTAGATAGCCTGAAGGCTGGATGTTCCCCACACCTGTTCTACAGGGATCACAGTGAACACCATGAGTATTAATGTTGTGCACTACTTAGGAGGGTGGAATGAGGAGACGGCATCACTTCGTGATAGTCCTATGTAAATGCAGAACCTGAATGTAATCTGAGAAAGTATCAGACAAACACAAACTGGGGAACATTCTACAAAAGGTAATGTTCAAAAGCGTCAAACTCTCACTGCCACTGAGTCGATTCAGACTCGGACTGACCCTATAGTACAGAATTGAACTGCCCCCACTCCTGGCTTCCAAGACTGGAACTCTTTATGGGCATAGACGGCCTCATCTTTCTCCCATGGAGCCTCTGCTGGTTTCAAACTACTGACCTTGCAGTTAGCAGCTCAACAAGCAAACCAATATGTGAAGGTCTAGAAAGTCAAGGAAAGCCTGAGTGAAACGAGATGACTTGGGGCGAGAGCACCTTAGTCCTCAAAGTAACCTCTGTGCTTTTCAACACTTCAATGAGGCCTTCTGCAGCAGATTTACTTAATGCAATGTGTCAGTTGATCTCTTGACTGCTGCTTCCATGCCAATTGATTGTGAATCCAAACCAGACAAAAATCCACCTTTTCTCCACTTACCATGATGTTACTTACTGGTCCAGTTGTGAGGATTTTAGTCCTCTCTGCATTGAGGCGTCATCCACACTGAAGGCTGCAATCCTTGATCTTCATCAGCCAGTGCTCCAAGTCCTCCTCACTCTCAGCAAGCAAGGCTGTGTCCTTTGCATACCGCAGGGTGTTACTAAGCCTTCCCCCACTCCTGAAACACAGCAATCATTGTGAGGATGCTGAAGGACTGGACAGTTTTTTCCTGTTATGCATAGGGTCACTATGAATAGGAAATGACAGCACCTACCACTAAACAGTTTGTCAATTTGTTGTACTGTAGTGGCTTGTGTGTTGCCGGTGGTGCTGGAAGCTATGTCACTGGTAGCAGGGTAACCCAATGGGAATAAGTGTCAGCAGGGCTTCCAGGCTGAGAACAGACAAGAAAGAAGCAATTGGCTGTCCACTTCAGAGGAAGTCGTCACTTCCCGCCTTAAACTCCATCTATAGCTCCCCAGGGATCTTAGAATAAAAAGCCAAAGATTTCAGGCTGCCTTACAACATCCCAACTTGACTTGGTGTCTGATCTCATCCTCTAATACTCTTACTTCCTCCTTTCTCATGGAGTCCGGGAGTGCATAGTTAAAGAGCTTTGTTGCTAAATGAAAGATCGGTGGTTTGACCACGGAAAGATGTGGCAGTCTGCATCCCTTAAGACGGCAACCTTAGAAAAAGGGATTTAGTCATAGAAAGAAACATTTTTTGAAGGTTCCCAGGATTGAGAGGGAATGGGAGGGTAAGTCATTCACTAGAAGGCCAACATATACACATGTTAACATGAGTGAAAACTATACTACCAGGGCTTAGTTCCAAATAATAGGCAGGCCTATAATGTGAACAGAGTGCTGGTGGTATCGTGGTTACTCCTTGACCTGCAAGGTCAGCAGTTCAAAACCACTAGCCACTCCAAGGGAAAAAGATGAGACTTTCTACTCCAGTAAAGAGTTAGAGTCTCGGCAACCTACAGGGGCCGTTCTACTCTGTCTATAGGGTCACTATGAGTTGGCATGGACTCAATGGTAGTGAGACAGACATAAGGTGAATAGTAACACCAGGGAGGCACTCACTCCCTAAAGCAACCAACCAAACCAGCTCAGAAGGACAGCATTTGCCCAGCATAGACTCAGAGGGCAGGAAAGAATAGGAGGAAGGAAAAGGTAAATAAGCACTTGGAGAAGGTGAGAAGAGGGTTGTGACATTGCAATC